AAAGCGAACTATACCGACCGAGCGACCGCCGCTTGACAACAGAAAATTATCTGCATACGAGTAGCCTGTGTCTAGGAGGAGATTCGAATCAAGGATCTAATAATTAACCTAAATTATTTAAGCATTCAAAACTTTTACTTGCATTCTTGAAAACCAAAACTAAGGTGTACTTCAAGCTGCTACTTCAAGCGATCATGGTATTTGCTTCAGAGACTAAAAAAAAACTTTGTGTTTTTAGTCTCAAAGCGAACTATACCGACCGAGCGACCGCCGCTTGACAACATAAAATTTTCTGCATACGAGTAGCCTGTGTCTAGGAGGAGATTAGAATCAAGGATCCAATAATTAACCTAAATTATTTAAGCATTCAAAACTTTTACTTGCATTCTTGACAACCAAAACTAAGGTCTACTACAAGTTGCATATTTGCAGCAAGGGTAGTAGTATTTGTCTATGGCTAAAAACTCTTTGTGGCTGCTGCAATCGGTTTTAACGATGAAACTTTGTTGTTCCGGGCCAGAGATTAACCTCGTCCCCTACCCCTTTACACTTTACCCTCGTCACACCCCAGTCTTCGCTGCCTGGTGTGGGAGCCGCTCCTGTGTTACGCAACTACCTCATGTCTCTTATCACGCATACAACATCTAAATGAAGTACAAAAGCATAAACGTTAACTGAAGCTATTATTTTTGGTAGTCAAGTGTATTGTATATATGGGTCCTGAGGTTACCCCATGAAGCCAGGCAACCAGCATTGCAGCACCCTCCAGTAACTGTTTCCAGCGACAACAAGAAGGGCGTAACTGATGTTCTCTGGTATTTCACAAAGAGGGACAGTCTCAACTCCGCTGCTTATCTCGGACTTCGGATTAGGTACCGTCACACACACACAATTGTGCTTTATTCATCAATTCACAAAATGTTTCGGCCTAGATATGAGCCATCATCAGGACATTCTTGAGGAAATAAACAAATGGTGACGGGCTACATATACACTACGGTGCTAGTATAAAACATTATCTTTGCTATTTACAACTGGTGACCGCCTCTGTGGTCTAGTGGTCAGAGTTCCTGGCTACAGATCCAGAGGTCCCGGGTTAGATCCTCGGCACTACCAGATTTTCTGAGAAGTAGTGGGTCTGGAAGGGGGTCCACTCAGCCTTGTGAGGATAACTGAGGAACAATGTCAAGGAAACAGCGGCTCCGGTGTAGAAAACCGAAATTAACGCCTATGTATATCCGCTGCGCTGACCACACGACATCCTCTATCCGCTGAAGTTGGCACTAACTTCGCCGACAAGCGGCGATCGCTCAGTCGGTATAGTTCGCTTGCGGACTAAAGTCACGGAGTTTAAGTTACAACTGGGTTGATCGGACACAATACTAAACAGAGTTGAGGTTTAAAATTATAATATAAAAAATAAACAAAGCAAAGCACATTGGAGATCTCTATGAGACGTAGTTTTGGAACTGGTCTCGTGGATCTCGGATCTTCGGGTTATTGCGCGGGGTTTGTGTTTCTTTGTTTGCAAGCACAAACAGGAGGTAACACTCCAAGACCATGGGTCATGCCCTAAAGGTGAGGTAGTAAGGGTGTCTTAATAGGTCGCAAATTTAAAAGTAAATAATTATACGTACTTTGCTGTCTTTTGTAAAAATGTCCGAGAAAAAGTATTCAATTATTTACATTCTCATTTATGTAGCAAAATACTGTAGTAAGAAAATTCAAGTTTTTATTAAGAGTTGGCAGAAATGCTTGGCTCAGTCGAATAATATTTTCGTCTATGGGTCGCCGACTCAAAAGAATGTTTTGGACAAGTGGGATGCATAGCCAACAAAGTCGAAAATCACTAATCCGGATCTTTTGTTTTAATACCAGCTTTCCTATTAGTACAAACATCTGGACGGGAAAGAGAATGTGATGACTACGAATTCATAAGAATTGGTGAATTTCAGACGATTACTTTGGTAACCCTGAGAAAGAAATTGGACTTCAGAATGCACTGATAAACCTGCCAGTATCGATCAGCTTCACATTTTGAGGAAAACTGAATATGTCTCCTCAATACTCCTGTTTTATGGCCACAAAACTATAATGTCCATAATAAGGTATTCGTCACTGTTCTGAATGATGAATACACTTCGAGGTTTAGGCCTCTCTTTGCCGTTCTAAAAGGCCGCCCTGTCTCTCAGAATCGGCATCTGAATTTGCCTATTGACCCTTAAGCGCCAGGGTCCAGCATGTGACACCCCACGCCATCGCATCACCAATCTGAGTTGCCGTTGCGATCATACAACGGTACTAATGATGACCCTGCTCCTAAGCGCACACCTCTGCCATGTTACCTTAAAATGGGTCTAGCAGCACGGACAGACATTCTGTGTCAATGAACCCCCTTCTTCATGTGAATTAATTGTGTAGTGATGGGCATTTCCACCACTTGCAATAGGAAAGGAAAAAATGGAACGAAGGTCGCGCCATAGCTCAAGCGGTTAGTCGCTGGCTTCCCACCGCGGCGGCCCGGGTTCGATCCCGGGTCTGGTCAGGTGGGATTTATGGACAAAGTGGCGCTGGGGCAGGGATTCTCCAAGTACTTCGGTTTCCCCTGCCCATCTTCCTTCCACCAATTGCTGCACAATCACCCTCACCTATCTTCTGGGGCTGGTACAATAGGCCAGAAGTGGCCGCAGTGCAAGGGACTTAGTCCCACCCCACTAGCAATAAAAGAAAAGTAATGGAATGATAATTTTCACGAATAAACTGGTGTAACGTGAACGAAACAGAATTATGTTTGCGTCTGGTTTCTAATAGGAATGTTACATCACATAGAGAACACTGGCCCCATACCATGGGAACCTTGCTTTGTTTAATTTAATATAACTTTTAATCGTCAAATGTGGGGTTACCCTTTCTTATGCAGATTGTACAGAGGAATCCCGAGGGTTCAAACACATGTTTCCAGTTATCACAGGTAAAGTAAGCGCTCAGTACATCACGTATTTATTATCTAGATCACAAGTTATGAATTCATGCAGCATATGTAAAGTATGTACAATGTTCCAGAAGAGTGCACATCATTACTTGCCGTATTTCTCCTGTATTTCCTTTTACAAACAAATTCCGAGAAGGGCAGCAAAGAAGAAAATTGTACCAGCATGCTATATATTGAAGTAAACTTATTATTATCCTCAGTTTTTTCATATTAAACAATGCTTGTTATGAGCGTGTTTAATAAGAGGTCCAGTCTCTGTGCATTGTACTTCAGGAAATACTACTGGAACTGACACATCAGCATTAACTGATTATCATCGATCTACAAGACAAGGAGATTTAGCAGACATTTCAGGATCCATGAGAACTGATTGATTCATAAAAGATACAGTTGCTCAGCACCTTTCTCGTCTTCACTCTTTGGCAGACTTCTCATTAAATGGCAACTGCTCTTCGTGTATGACCGCCTCTGTGGTCTATTGGTCAGAGTCCCTGGCTACAGATCCAGAGGTTCGGGTTCGATTCCCGGCGCTACCACATTTTCTGAGGAGTAGTAGATCTGGAACCGGCTCCACTCAGCCTCGTGAGGATAATTGAGGAGCTACTTGAATGAAAAGCAGGGGCTCAGGTCCAGAACATCGAAATTAACGGACGCGGGTATCCGTTGCGCTGACCACGTGATACCCTGTAGCCGCTAAAGTTGGCACTAACTTCGCCGACAAGCGGCGGTCGCTCGGTCGGTATAGTTCGCTTGCTGACTACAGACCACGAAGTTTTTTTTTGTTTGCTCTTCATGTATGTATCGTTGCTCGTAGTGTGACAAGCCAACGGCGTTGTTAAACCGCGTCCATTTTATTTGGATCCTTTTAATCACCCTGCTACAGAAGAGCATGGAATAACAACCATACTAAGGGCGGTATCAGAACCCGCGGTGAGGATCACTGGGCGACTGTGGTCGGCCATTACTTGAGCCCCATATTTTCTGGAATGTGGACGTGACCCAGTGTTGCACGAAGCGGCGGTTGGCAGTCAGATATTCCCACTCCGTCGTCCCGACGTTGTGGCAAATACGGGGGTAACCGCATCCTCGAGATAAAGCACAAGTTTAGAACAATCAACGAACACGACTGCGTCTGCGTGAGTCAAGTTCATTGGTTAAAGTTCGCGTGCCCATTATACCTGCAGTCAATTAGTGCTCCCCCATTCCAGTAAAACCGCCTTTTTCTAACCCAAGTGCAATTCATATTATTCTAAAGTGTAACAGTAACTGTTTTGTTAATCCCAATACCGTGAGTTCGTGTATTTTCCTTATGGAGCAGAGCGCTTCAAGCCAAGAACATGTGATTGCATGACGTCGCTTACCTCGTAACATGAAAGCCATCTTTAGTCAAGGATAACTGCACACAGCCCTCGTGTCATTCGTTTGTTTAGCCACTCATACAGGTGCACAAAACATCTATGTGTGACGAGGAAGACATGTAATCTTCATAGTCACCGCCGTCAGAAGCTCAGACCTCAAACATTTAGGGCTCTAGCAAATCGGGCTGGAGATCGTAGCGACCCACATTATCAGCACTTCGACGTACAAAAGTGTTTTTTTTTGCAGTGCTGCACGTCTGTTAGGTTACTTTGTTTTATTTCGTCTCGTCTGAACGGTTCAGCTGATTGATCCATGACGTCCAACACATCACCATCAAGTTATGCCGTTGGGCATGGTCACGAATCAGTTCAAACATGTTTAGAACATTTGTAAAAATATTTCCCCAAACTCCATTTTAATATTATTTTGTGAACTTCTTGGTCTCCCAAAAATAAAATTTTGCTGTCAGTTTTTAAAGTGACGGGTTTCGCTTCCTGACTTTGTTTACGAACCTGTTTTTAGCACGTTCAGGACTTTGGTCTGCCAAATTAACATCTTACCGTGATTTTTTTAAATCGCGTTTTCCACGCCATATTCACTTGTACGAAACTACAAGACGTGTGATTTATTTCGTTCTCGTCTGTTTCAGGTAAGTGCGACTTCCACTGCAGGCGTCACCCTCCTGTGATGAAGCGTCTGCGCACTAAAGAGATGAGTCTACAGTTGATTTTATTTACAATCATGGCTGGATGATATTCTGATTAGGCTTAGATACGAAGTGTTCTGTTTGTGACAAGAGTAACCGAAATGAGGAGCGCTTCCTATAGCTCAAAATACCTATCCAAAATAAAATCATTTTATCTCAGAAAGATTTTATTATACACATTAATGGGTTACACCATTACAAAAGGAAACTATCAAAGTTTCTTTCTGCACATATAACTTTCTCAGTAAATTTAAATGTGGGCTCCCTTGGCGTTGGTGTTACCGTAGCCACAGCGTCCCTTATGCCTGCCTTCAGGTGTTGAAGGCCGTTCATCATAACCTGGTAGACAATATTCTTCACATAACCCCGCAAGATAAAATCAATGGGGTTAAATATGGCGACCTAGGAGGCCAAGCGATTGGTCCACCTCTGCCAATTCATATCCCAGCCAGCTCTCTGTCCAGGTGATTCCTAACAAGGTGGCAAAAAATGTGGCGGCGTATGCGCGTATGAAAAATAAACTATCAGAGTTTTCCTTTCCGATGACATAAACCGGATACATGTATGACAATTAGTTTCCGAGGTATAATTTTTTTAATATTTTGGATACCTTTATCCGGACACCTAGTATATTATGGGAAACATCTGTAAATTGTGAAACGTATGAATTGTGTAACAAAACAGATTCCGTCATGATATTGCGTTTAGGTTTTCATTCGTCCTGTTGGCCTGTGTGGGTCACTGAACAGAAGACAAATATCAACAGTTTAAACCATGAAATACTGACTGGTTTGGTGGGACAACATGCAGTCTCCGACCCTTGCCTATCAGTCTGTTCTCAAGCAAAACCCCGATAACCCCTGAACGGATTTCCACTGCATGAAAGATACTGGGGGGTTTTATTAAGATTTGTAGACAGCTTTATAATCTTGATTGAAATCAGACACAAATAAGAAGGTACGTTATATAAACACATAAGCCATGCCATAGCTCAAGCGGTTAGTCGCTGGCTTCCCACCGCGGCGGCCCGGGTTGATCCCGGGTCTGGTCAAGTGGATTTGTGGTGGACAAAGTGGCGCTAGGGCAGGTTTTTTTCCGAGTAATTCGGTTTCCCATGCCAGTCTTCATTCTACCAATTCCTCCACAATCACCCTCGCCTATCATCTGGGGCTGGTACAATAGGCCAGAAGTGGCCGTAGTACAAGGGACTTAGTCCCACCCCATTAGCAATAAGGAAATGCATAAACACAGGAGTTCTTTAGCGTAACTCGCAGATATTTATCAGAGAGAATAATGTTACAAAAAAAATTATAGAAAATAGTCTTTCGAACACGGGCTAAGATTAGCATAGTCTTATTAGTTTTCGATAATAACTGAACTAAGCTCCGTGGCAGAATTTATTTTTAATTGAGTATTTCTACGTAAAGATGTTACGCAATTACTTTCTCTCTTACTTGGAGCTAAGAGAACGCGGTAGCGTACTTGGTGGAGGCACTATGCGGCATTCCGGGAGGTTGTGGGTTCGATTCCCAATGAGGTTACTAGGTTTTTCAATTGACTTAATCTTTGCAGCCGTACTATGGCAGTCGGGTCGATTAAGCCTCTAACAGAAATGAGTGGAAGTAAAGGGCGGCCAGAGCGTAAGGCTGAGAACCTCACCGCCATCTGTGAGTCGATTGTATAGAAAATGTGGGAGCCTCGACGTCTCACAACCCTATGCTCCTCAATGGCCTGTTACAGGGATTGCTTTGCCTTGCTTGGAGTCTTGACATATTTCAACGGGAATCCATTTCTTATGGTTATCGACATAATTAAACTAGAGACGTTTTTAATATCTGTAGATAAAAAGAAGCAAACGCGCCAGAATTGAAACGTTATGTATAAACCTGCATTTCCTAACTTGTTTACATTCACAGCCTGATAGGATATACTCTTATATGGCAACAAACGTAGGCTATGCCAGCTACATGGCAGGCATCAGTTATGTAAAGCATACGTCACTTGTTTTATCCGATCTCGTGTAGATTGAAGATCTCCCCATTCCGCTCCCACATAAATGCACCGAGACACCCGCCACAAAGAGAACGCACGTTGTCATGAACTGTTCAGATGATGGCCCATAATACGTAGAAAGTACATACATCACGGAACACATTTGGATTCATTCTCTGTATCTGCTAAACTCCTGTATGAATAACGTGAACATTTTGGAAGCATATTTTCCTCCCCGAAACCAGCAGCCCCTGTCGGAACGGAACGGGCGAGCGGCTAGCGTGAAGTAGTAGTAATCCAGCGGGCCCTAGTCGGGGAACCAGCGAAGCAGCAAATCCCGTTGGGACGTCCCCATGGCCGTGAAGCTAGTGGCCTGCGCCTGTCCCTTCCCGTGTAATGCGTATTGTAGTACAATTGTAACATGAAAACTCCACACGAAGGTGAAGTCAAAGGTCGGCCAAACCTCAGCACTACGCCACGTCACTTTGCAGAGTTCAGATTTATGTTCGATAATTTTTTAGCTTGGACAAGGGTGGGGATTCTGTCATAACAGTCGTACAGAAGAACAGTTAAAAAACATATACCGGAAGCAATAAATATCTATTAGTCTATTAAACAAACAAAACAAAAAACTCCGTGGCTTGAGTACGCAAGCGAATTATCCCGACCGAGCGACCGCCGCTTGCAGACAAAGTTAGTCCCAACTTTTAGCGGATAGGGGGTGTTGCGCAACGAATCCCCACGACCGTTAATTTCGGTTTTATAGACCGGAGTCGCTATTTCCTTGAAATAGCTCCAAATTAGTCTATTAGTGACACTAATTGTCTAACCCGTCATTTTCTATTAGGCCCAAGTGTTCGCACTGACTGCCATCTTCAACTGTGTCGGAGAAGGATTGTTGAAGGACACTTTCTTAACCTTTTGGTCACATGTTATCAGTTTGTAATCACTTGCAGTGAAGTGGCAGTCAGATCACAAATATCTGCAGAATTGTTAGAGTGAGACGCGAATACTAGAGCAATTTGCAGAAGGAATTCTCGTTAAATATAATCGTCCCCGATTCTACACATACGAGTATTCTTCTGGCCTTAAATCTTCATAAAGTTGCCCTTCCATGTTCGTAAGCTACACAAAAAGAAAAATCACATTTGTGTTTAGTTTTTTCTTTACTGCTAGTGGGGTGGGACTAAGTCTCTTGTACTGCGGTCGCTTCTGGCCTATTGTACCAGCCCCAGATGATAGGTGAGGGTGATCGTGGAGCAATTGGTGGAATGAAGATTGGCAGGGGAAACCGAAGTACTCGGAGAAAACCTGCCCCGGCGCCACTTTGCCCACCACAAATCCCACTTGACCAGACCCGGGATCGAACACGGGCCGCCGCGGTTGGAAGCCAGCAACTAATTGCTTGAGCTCAAGCGCGGCCCTTTGTGTTTAGTTAGTGTACACTGGCGGTATACATGTTTTTGGTGGGAAAGGGGGGGGTTAACCTCCTTTCTTCATACCAGCAGCACCAAATGTCATTCATAGCACGTTTAGAGAACTTGTTTCCGTATCACTTTTGCAGTGCTTGTTAGCTTTCGTTTGGCTCTTACAGTACCGCTTAGATTTATGCTGCAGCACCTAGTGTATGTTCTGAATTCATCATTACGTGATAAATTTAATAATTAGAAAGGTAATGGTATTCGCGTACTCAATAAATTTCTCTCTTCGACGGCGACACGATTTACATAACCTTGTACACTTTACAGCTGTCACTAGATGGCATCACTTGACTCTAACCTTACTAACTACGTACATTGCGGGTGAAAGGGAACCATATATGCACACTGCTGTACACTGTCAGTTTGTTCACTGTGTCTGATTGCAGATTTGAAACTTCTTTGATCTTACGTGACAGATTCTTTGCACAGTACAGTATAATGGGTTATCCACACATCCCTGGCTAAACACTGGTATTTTACATTTCGTTTTTGGAAATGCAGTAAACTTGAAACTCCAAACTGTGGTCTTCAGTGCAAAGGGCTTGAAGGATTCTTTTCCCCCTTGGCGCTACAGTCCCAGTGGGTCTAGGCCTATCTCCATGAACTCCTCCGTTCACTTCGGTTTTTCTAGATCTTACACATTCGGTAGGGCTCCTTGGGCGGGTGATCAGCTCGTCGCAAGGCCTCTACCTGTACACAAACACAGAAAAACGCACACACAAACTAAACATCCATGCTCTGAGTGGGATTCGAACCCACGATCCCGGTTTCCAAGCGAGCGAAGACAGTACATGCCTTAGACGGCTCGGCTAGCGTGACCGGCGCTTGAGGGATTACTGAGGGGAATGTTCGAACTTATCACAGCTCTGAGTTTGAACAGATACTGTGGGCGGCGGCGATAACAACAACACAGAGGGCATCCAGCATTTTCTGTAATCTGGCGAAGTACTATTTGTTATTTGGCTATAGGTTGTAGATTCCGTTAGCAATCGCGAGTCTCTGCGGCCAGCTAGACGGGACACTTCCCGCCTACGTGGCCCCAGTATCCTGCCAGTCGCACTGTATAACATTCCTCTGGTTCTTGTGCACTGCTCCGTCAGTACATATTCTGAATTTCTTTGGGCCCCTCTGCTGTTCTTGTCGTTGATCTAAATTTCTTTTTATTGTTTAAAATTTGTAGGGGTTGCATTTGGTTTTGAGAGCCACAAGAAATATGTTGAATATATTTGTAGAGTTCTAAGAAAGACGTTGGGGTGCCATTGTTGCTTTGTGCTGGGTAATTTTGTTCTGCTACAAAGTGGTAGATCTAACAACTATCTCGCACCAAGGATCACGCTAGCAACCCTAAGAGATTAAAGATAATACGCCTACCAGGCTGAAGCTTTACAGTGGGAAGAGAGTATAACCGTAAAGTAAACGTGAACTGGCAGGAAAGAGGTCACTTGTAGTCGGGTTTAAGTAGGATGATATGGGTGTTGTGATTAAGTTGAACGGTAATGCCACGAATTATTGGAGCCGAGGCTATAATTTCAGACATCGATTTAAAGTAAATATCGTGTTCAAGCAGACTAGCT